TTCTGCTTTTTTCAAAAGGAGACATCGGGAACTTTTGGAAATATCTGTTTAAGGCGATCATTCAGTTGTAGGAGATGAAAATGTTTTTTCTAAATTCGTGAAACGTTCCTGAGTTTAAACTGATAGGTAATAATAAGAGGAATTCTATTGGAAAGTTTAGTATTGTTCTGATTTAGGATGTTTTTTCGCTGAATGTTGTTAGCCTTTTCAATTTGTCCGTCGATTTGGTATCTTTATATCCTCTTTGTAACATGGTTTGTTTTAGATCCTTAGTGTGTTTTCCATAGTCTGTTTCATTTGAGCTTTTTTTTTATTCTAAGAGCTGGACTGTAGATAATGTTCCGTTTAGTGTGAGAGGGGTGGCAGCTTTTATAGTGAAGGTATTGTGGTCTGTCTGTAGGTTTTTTGTACAAGTCAATGTGTAAAATTCTGTCTTTTAGAAAAACAGTGACGTCAAGAAAGTTAATCTTGTTCGTTCTATTATAATAAGCTGTTTAGTTGTTTCTTCTTGGAAGTGTAAAAGTTTCTTGCTACTAGTAAACCGTAGCTGTTTAGTTGTTTCTTCTTGGAAGTGTAAAAGTTTCTTGCTACTAGTAAACCGTGGCTGTTTAGATGTTTCTTCTTGGAAGTGTAAATTTTTCCTACTACCAGTAAACCGTTGCTGTTTCGATGTTTCTTCTTGGAAGTGTAAATTTTCCCTGCTTCCAATAAACCATGGATATTTCGATGTTTCTTCATGGAATTCCCTGCTACTAAATTCATACTTGGATATTTTACCGTTGGAGTGCAAAACATTCCTGTTACTAATTTGGTTACTGTTGAAAATTTCTGTTTTGTACTCTGCTGAGCAAGTGCTCCTATTCAATGTTCGTATGAGATGTTTCTTGAACAAGTTAGAAATTGGAACTTATAAACTCCCCTCCTCTACCCTCAACACATAAATTTCTCTGTTTGTTATAATATTAAAATATAGGGTAAATTATTTGTCAAAAACATAACTTGCAAATAGTTTTAGAAAATCTCCGTTGCAAATGCATTCATTGTATATTTTATTTCCATAGTTTTTAAATAATTACTATTATTTGATGCACACCACATTTTGAAGTAATAAACAGCCGAAACACAGGTCGATAAGAAGGAGAATTTAATATCAGTAGCATATTATGCACAGGTGGGCTAATAGGTCAAGTGGTTTAGATCGATATATCTACATAATCGTCAAATTTTCATTGACAAACTAGAATGTTTTTATTTATAATTGTATAACTTAACACGAAAATGTCTAGGTAAGAATAGTTATATGTAAGATCAAAGATAACTATCAGTAGACAGATGTTTAATGTTAAAACAAACTTACCAAATGAAGAACATTGCTAGTGATCTTTTCCTCCATTTTGGAGTCTTTAACAAATCCAAGACTGTCTTCTCTTTGTACTTCTTATTTTCCTGTGATATTAAAAGAAATAACCTACAAGATCCAATAGTAATGATATTCCAATAAATCTTTCTCAAGAAGACATAATCTGCAAGATCCAATAGTAATGATATACCAACAAATCTTTATCAAGAAAAAACGTACAAATTTTCTTTTTTTATTTTCCAAAGGTGATTGATATATTTTGTTAAATATGAACTCTTACCATATCTATAAACACCAACTAAAACCTGCTGTCAGTGGGACTCTTACCATATTTCTAAGCGCACCAACTAAAACCTGCTGTCAGTGGGACTCTTACCATATTTCTAAGCGCACAAATTAAAACCTGCTGTCAGTGGGACTCTTACCATATTTCTAAGCGCACCAACTAAAACCTGCTGTCAGTGTGACTCTTACCATATTTAAAAACTGTTATTAACGTGACACTTACCATATTTCTAAGCACCAACTGAAAGCTACTATCTCTTACCATAAATATATAAACACCATTTAAAAACTGTTATTAACGTTACTCTTACAATATTTATAAACATAAACTAAAAGCTACTAACAGCGTGCTTTTACCATAATTCTAAACACCATTTAAAAACTGTTATTAACGTGACTCTTACCATATTTTTAAACATCAACTACAAGCTGTTATTAGTTTAACTCTTACCATATTTCTAAACACCAATTAAAAGCTTCTATCAGCGTGACTCTTGCCATATCTCTGAACATCAAGTAAAAGCTGCTATCAACTTGACTCTAACCACCAACAAAAACCTCCTAACAGTGTGACTCTTACCATATTCATAAGCACCAACTGAAAGCTGGTATCAGTGTCACTCTTGCCATATCTCTAAACACTAGTCAAAAGCTGCCATCAGCGTGACTCTTACATATTTCTAAACACCAACTAAAAACTACTATCATTGTGACTCTTACCATATCCCTAAACACCAACTAAAAGCTGCTATCATCGTGACTCTTAGATATTTCTAAACACCAACTAAAAACTACTATCATCGTGACTCTTACATATTTCTAAACACTAACTAAAAACTACTATCATCGTGACTCTTACCATACCCCTAAACACCAACTAAAAGCTGCTATCATCGTGACTCTTACATATTTCTAAACACCAACTAAAAACTACTATCATTGTGACTCTTACCATATCCCTAAACACCAACTAAAAGCTGATATTATCGTGACTCTTACCATATCCCTAAACACCAACTAAAAGCTACTATCATCGTGACTCTTACCATATCCCTAAACACCAACTAAAAGCTGCTATCATCGTGACTCTTACCATACCCCTAAACACCAACTAAAAGCTGCTATTATCGTGACTCTTACCATATCCCTAAACACCAACTAAAAGCTGCTATCATCGTGACTCTTACCATACCCCTAAACACCAACTAAAAGCTGCTATCAATGTGACTCTTATCATATTTCTAAACATCAAGTAATAGCTGCTATGAGCGTGACTTTTACCATATTTCTAAGCATAATTTTGAAACTGTTTTAATTGTAACCCTAGTAATATGTTTAACCAAACCTAATTCATGGCAATAAACTAAAGCCACACGCTAACTTCTAAAGGGTATTTTAATAATATTAGTTATGACTGACAATGAAACAAATTACATTATCCACATCTTCCGTAAGTTTGATCATGATCGACTGTAGGATGGATGGGTCTTTTCCATTTGTTATCAAGGCTTTTTTTAACTCTTTCTCCGCCTCTTGGAATCTTCGATGAGACAACAAGAAACGAGGAGATTCGGGAAGAAACCTAAACATAAAATTGTGAATGTACAAAAAATTAACTATATACCTGAAATGGAAAATGTTTAGCATTTTATTTATTAACATATCCTTCACTTTAATACTTTCTATCGCTTCAGTAATTCAATTTTAAGTTAATTTACCTTTTTTAAGCCGAGAATACTTATTAAAAAATAACAAACTTTAGAGAAAAGTTTAACGCAGTAGCAGTAATTAAATACAAATACACAGAGAGGAATATTTCAACTTAAAATTTCATGCAAACTTATGCAAAAAACATCTGCGAAATGTCATCTCTAATTTTAAACGCTTTGGTTATTCCACGGCTATTCTTGTCTGATCAAATATTGGGATTTGACTTCCTTAGAGCATACGGAAGAGCTAACCTGCGGTTGCTGCATAGAAGGCAAATTATGAATCAAAGGATTCAAAATCTGATTATTTTAACCATTAAGCCCCGTACAAGAAAAAGAGAAACGAAGTAATTAAAAAGAAAAGGCAGAAAAGAAAGTTTCAAAAATATACGTTATATTATGTGAAAAATAATTGAGTTTCGAGACATAGTAAAACGATGTTAAATCTCAGTATTTGGGGTATTTTTTATAGAAGGAACAACTTCGTATCAATGGTAATATGATAGAACAAAAACTTAGTAACACAGATATTATATTAGAACGAAGGGGTTAATAACACTGGTATTATAACAGAATGAACAAATTAATATCACTGGTATTATAATAGAACGAACAAATTAGGATATAACAAACAACTTAATATCACTGGTATTATAATTGAATGAACAAATTAATATTACTGGGATTATAATATAACGAACAACTCAGTATCATTTACATTATAATAAAACGAAAAACTCAGTATCACTGGTGCTACAATAGAACGAATAACTTAGTATCGTTGGTATTATAATAGAACAAACAAGTTAGTATCACTGATATTATAATGGAATCAAGAATTTAGCATCACTAATACTAGTAAACCGTGGCTATATCGATGTTTCTTCTTGGAAGTGTAAAAGTTTCTTGCTACTAGTAAACCGTAATATAAGGCTAAAATATAACGTTCTGCTAGTAAAAAGAGTGTTATAAAATCACACCAGGGTCAATAGCTCTGCCTTGTCAACAGAATCAGACTGTTAGTGCTCTAATCATCTTCTCCACCTATTTCTAGAGTGTCTGAAGTGGGTTTGATAAATGTCTAAAACAAGACATTCTGCGAAGACGAAGAGTGCTACCAAACATTCAGTAGGGTCGACAACTGTACCCTCACAACAGGAACAAAATATTGTGTTTTAGTCATTATCACCATCTATTTCTGGTGTCTGAAATAGGATATATATATAATGTTAAAACAACACATCATGCTAGTAAGATAATTGGTATAGAACACAACAGGGTCGAGAGATGTACACCCGAAAACACATCGTACTACGTTTACAAATATCTGTGTTTAACAATAATTACACCAATTTCAAGCAAATGTTCAGCGTTTTTAACTTTACGGTCATTCTAGAAATCTAATTAGTAATTTTTACGACATTACAAATTTTCCTAAGCCAGTTGTTACGAACGAAGCACATAATACGGGCGTTTTATATTCGTGAAAAATGTCAGTATTTCTAAATCAGATTTACGTAATTCAATCGCATATATGATATCTTGTATTTCTGGTATGATAAATATCCATATTTCCCCCCCCCCTCATTTTTTACCTGTGAATTTCTGGCAGTTATATGTAATATCGGTTTTAGAGAAATACTTACCAATTCTTTGACAAAGGGAGCCAGCATAGAGCCTATTCTAGCGCATGTTGAACTTGTTCCGACTCCAACATTTCGTACGACAGTAGGAAAAAGTTCAGCAGAATAAACGTAAACAATGGCAAAAGCAGCAGTGATCGCTAACTTCCCAATCATGGCTACTGTAACCTGTAGCCACACCAGCTCTGAAAAAAAAATCAATATTACTAACGAAATGTAACCATACCATTTTAGGGGAAAAAAATAAAACCAGTATTTCTAACGAACTATAACCACACCAACTCTAGAAAAGAAATAAACCAGTATTACTAACCAAATTTAATCACACCATTCTAGTGAAAAAATTAAAACCAATATTTCTAACGAACTGTAACCACAACAAATCCAGAAAGAAAAAGTATAAACCAGTATTTCTAACGAACTACAACCACACCAACTCTAGGAAAATAAACCAGTATTACTAACGAACTTTAACCACAACAAATACAGAAAAAAATTAAAACCAGTATTACTAAGGAACTATAACCACACCAATTCTAGAAAAAAAACACACCCAGTATTACTAACCATACCATTTTAGGAAAAATTAATTAAACCAGTATTTCTAACAAACTATAACCTCACCAACTCTAAAAAAAAAGTAAACCACTACTACTAACAAAGTGTAACCATACCAACTCTTAAAATACCAATTTTACTAACAAACTATAACAATTTTAGGGAAAATAAACAAATAATACTAACGAAGTGTAACAACACGAACTTTAGGGAAAATAAACCAGTATTATTATGGACAATAAAGAAAACAACATTAAGAAAAAATACTATTACAAACGACTTATACCAACAAAAGAATGAGAAGAAAACTTACGACATGGTTAATTTTACAATGTGGGGTGAATGATAAATATGTGAAAATTATACAGAATGAAGGCAAAACTAACGACATGGTTACTTTAAAAATGTACTGCGAAGAATAACAATGTGACAACTATACAAAATGAGGACAAACCTAATCACATAGTTAATTTGACAATGTAGTGTGAAGAATAACAATGCGACAATTATACAAAATGAAGACAAATTTGACGACATGGCTAATTTGACAATGTGATGTGAAGAATAACATTGTCATAACTATACAGAGTGAGGACAAACCTGACGACATGGTTAATTTAATTTGACAATGTGGTGTGAAGGATAACAATGTGTCAACTCTAAAGAATAAAAGTAAACCTGACGATATGGTTAGAATAACAATGTGACAGCTCTAGAAAATAAGAACAAACCTGACGATATATATAGTTTGGTTAGGTTGATGATCTTTATCCTGTAAAGTTTGATCAGGTTTATAATCTTTAACCTGTATAGTTTGATTAGGTTTATGATCTTTAACTTTCATAGTTATATTAGGCTTATGATCTTTAATCTGTATAGTTAGATTAGGTTGATGGTCTTTAACCTGTATAGTTTGGTTAGGTCGATGATCTTTAACCTGTATAGTTTAGTTAGGTTTATGATTATTAAACTTCCATAGTTAGATTAGGCTTATGATCTTTAACTTGTATAGTTGGATTAGGTTGATATCTTTAACCTGTAGTGTGGTTAGATTGATGGTCTTTAACCTGTATAGTGTGGTTAGGTTGATGATCTTTAAGTAGTATAATTTGGTTAGGTTGGTGATCTTCAACCTGTATAGTTTGGTTAGGTTGATGATCTTTAACTTTCATAGTTATATTAGGCTTATGCTCTTTAATCTGTATAGTTAGATTAGGTTGATGATCTTCAACCTGTATAGTTTGGTTAGGTTGATGGTCTTTAACCTGTGTAATTTAGTTAGGTTGATGATCTTTAAACTGTCTAGTTTAGTTAGGTTTATGATCTTTAACTTGCATAGTTAGATTAGGCTTATGATCTTCAACCTGTATAGTTGGGTTAAGTTGATGATCTTTAACCTGAATAATTTGGTTAGGCTTAAGATCTTTAATCTGTATAGTTAGATTAGGCTTATGGTCTTTAACTTGTACAGTTAGATTAGGTTTGTGATCTTTAACCTGTATAGTTTGGTTAGACTAGGCTGAAATCTCTAACCTATGCAGTTTGGTTAGTTAAGGCTTATGATCTTTAACCTATACAATTTGGTTAGGTTGATGATTTTTAACTTGTATAGTTTGGTTAGGTTGATGATCATTAACCTGTATAGTTTGGTTAATGTTGGCTAATATCATTTAATATGTATAATTTTGTTAGATTACTCTTATGGTGTTTAACCTGTACAGTTTGGTTAGGTTATGCTGATTGTCTTTAACTTATACAGTTTTGCTAGGTTAAGTTTATGATCTTTAAATTCTAGAGTTTGGATAGGTTTAGCTAATGATCTTTAATTACTTTAGGACCTTTACAGTTTGGTTGGGTTAGGCTGATGATATTTAACGTGTACAGTTTGGTTCTATGGATGCTAAAAGTGCTGGTTTTGGTTATGTACACTGTACTTCAAATGGATATAAACATGTACATGATTTGCCCATATATAGGTACATTATTACTTATGAATACTGTATATATAAATGTGTTTTAATTTTTTAACAACGTTTGCACAAATAATTGTTAAGTATGGAGATTTCAGAAATAAATCCTTACCGTAAGGAATTGGAATAATCAACAACAAAGCAACTCCAGCTGTAATTACTGATATTAGAAGGGGAAACTTTCTCCCCAGACGCTTCACTACGAAGATTGTTCCCAAGTATGATGGAAACTCTACTGCACCCGCAATGAGAAAGTTCAGGAATGGATCTCCTCCGAGATTGTTAGTGTTGAAAGACAATCCGAAAAAAATGAAGGAAATGACAAACCTAATGAAGTGATAAAAAATTCGAATTATCTTCCCCTTTTAAAATATATTACGTCATCTTATAGATAAGAGTATATGGGATTTAGCTGGTACTTTTTCTGTACTTTAATCGAGCTATAATTTTCTAAAATAAGATGCCGAAACCCGACATGAAGATGGAAACTAATACAAATTAATTTCTATCTTTCAAGTGTGTATGTAGCTCTTTACATTTCTGACGTTTTCGGGCCTAAAGCCTAGTTCAAATAGTCTTAAAATCAAATATAACTTTAGAAAGCAAATTTTGTATCTGCTTTTTTCAATATCAAAAATCTTATTCTCAGTGAGTTAAGGACTTTAAATCAGAGTTGTTTAAAAATAACATTTGAGGTTATTTTTACCAACATCAGGTTATTGCACATTACAGTTTTCTTTCCTTTTAACTAAAGGTATTGTTACGTCTCTAGTCGTTGGTTAATTTTCCGAAGAAATTATTTCCGAAAAACTTTAGCGATACAAGTCCTTTCTTAAATAAAACTAGTTTATTCTTTCTCAATACTACTTTGCAATACACTTAATTTCCACAGTCTCTTTAACTGAAAGACACGCTATAATTCATAACGATTCACGCACTTTACTTACTGTCACTACGGCGCTTGACTCAATTGTCCGTCTCTATCTCTGCCTGTCTGCAATTCAATTAATTATCTCGCTTTATTTGCCTGTTTATATACAGGAATAGAGGGCGTCTAGCAAATACTGGATTATTCGTGATATTCCCCGATCCTTCTAGATACTCATTACCTGTTACCAGCGTCACGTGACTTCCGCTGTCGTAACAGTATGCTTCATCACACTTATTAGGCCTAAACCTTTAATATCGAGCCAACATAAGAACTAGTTGATAACTTATGCACTTAGATAAAAATCTATAAATATTTTAAGTATTTCATGTACTCTCAGTTATCCATCAACTGTCTTTTGTGGAGTTTTATTTATAACGCTTACAATAATTCTGTCTGAATTTCGCATACATTGATAGCTATGTGAGGCGGGATATTTTTTGTAAAGCTCGAAATACCAAACAAAAATGGAAAAGCTTTCTCCAATTATTCCTAATTTAACGATAACTTTATTATTTTTAAAATAACTATTCTGGTGCTCATTTTGGTCACTGAGATTTTCCTTCTGCTAGTGAACCGTGGCTATTTCGATGTTTCTTCTTGTAAGTGTAACCTTCCCTGCTACCAGTAAACCGTGACTTGTTTGTTTCTTCTTGGAAGAGTAAAACTTCCCTGCTACCAGTAAACCGTGGCTATATCGATGTTTCTTTTTGCAAGTGTAAAATTTTCCTTTTACTAGTAAACCGTGGCTATATCGATGCTTCTTTTTGTAAGTGTAAAATTTTCCTTTTACTAGTAAACCGTGACTATATCGATGTTTCTTCTTGGAAGTGTAAAATTTTCCTTGTACTAGTAAACCGTGACTATATCGATGTTTATTTTTGTAAGTGTAAAACTTCCCTGCTACCAGTAAACCGTGGCTATATCGATGTTTATTTTTGCAAGTATAAAATTTTCCTTTTACTAGTAAACCGTGGCTATATCGATGTTTCTTCTTGGAAGTGTAAAATTTTCCTTGAAATCCATTGTCTATTTCAGACACTAGAAATAGGTGGAGAGGATGATTAAAGCACTAACAGCCTGAATCTGTTGACAGGGTACAGCTATTGACCC